TATGTTGTAAACATGCAAGGTCAAGTTGTTACGACAGTCTCCTACATAGATCCAACTGTGGTTCTATTTAGTCACCATCATATACCAGTTGTAGCTCTATCAGTTGCAATTTTCGTCTTTGTTCTCTTGCCACCAACAATTCTGCTGATGTTGTATCCGTTTCGTTGCTTCCAGAAAGCCAGCACACACCTCAACACAAGATGGCAACTGAGACTAAAATATTCAGAGACACATTCCACGGAAGCTACAAGGACGGCACTGACAAATCAAGGGACTATATTGACCAGTAGCAGGCGTCATCTTCCTCATTTGGATAATATTCCCGGCAGTGAATGGAATAGTAACCCTCTTGGGAAGGAAAATCGTTCCATGGCTGCTAACATTCATTCCTCTACTGATAGTTTTAGCAGTGGCTTGTGTGGTGCTTGAGCCATACAAGAAAAGGTCTGCTAATATGTCTGGGACAGTCTTACTCATCATACTCGGAGTAGCAGCTACCACATCTGCAATACTACACCTCCATTCGTTTTCAACAACACTAGCCTGGGTACAGGTAGGCGTTCTGACATTGTCCCACTGTGTTCTCTATGGATTTAGTATACACAAGTTTATCAAGAAAGTCAAACAACATGTTTATACAGAGGTCACAGAGAGTAAGAGGCCACTAATAAACTAAGAGGAAACTGATGGCGCAGCAAGATAGAAGTACAGGAGCTTTTTACTCAACAGAACAGCACCTTATGTACGTTTGCACTGTTGTGATAATTATACATAATAGAAACAAATTTAGCTCCCCAGAGGTTGAGCAATGACGGACATGAGGAACGCGGAGCATCCAAAGACCGCTTCAACTTGGTGTTGCAAGTAAATAATGACTCCGTCACTTCCCCTGGGATTTGCATATGGGCTTTTTTGCTTTTTGTCTCTAGAACACAGTCGTTTCAGGAAAATTGCCATCATATTAAGGGCCTGCTAAGCTGTTGGTATCACTCATAGGCCACCTAATATATAGCCTGTAGAGTCAGAAGAGATGCAGACCAAGTACTGTAAACCATGCATGTCGAAAGTTAAAGACTGGTGCCCCATACAATATATAGCAGAGGGCCTAGCATGACAAGTGAGTGGAGCAATTGTTTCGCTATTGAATGCAATTTTAAGCCACGGAGAGGCAGGCAGAGGAAGTGTTGGAGTAAGGTCATTGATGATCTCTTTTCATCACTAGGTCTTGACAAGGCAGAGTGGTTGCATGATAAAAATGGGGATTGCCCCTTGAAAGGCTTTCTGTCTATAGTAGGGGACAGTATTAATGAGAGGGAGATTAGAAAGTTTGAAGAGGGGCTAAATAGCAAAGTAAAGCTGTTATTGTATAAGACATTTAACAAGGTGGTAGAGTTCAAAAAGTACTTGCATGGGAATAGAGTGATGCTTGGTCTAGATTAATGTTTAAATTCAGGTCAGGCACGCATGGGCTAAATGAGGAACTGGGTAGATAAAGGGGGAGGGAGGGGATGAAGGAGTACCTGTTGTGTGATGATGAGTGTGAAAGTGTGAGTCATGTGTTGTGGGAGTGTTCAGCATAATTATAGCAGTCTTAGGAGTAATTCCTTAGTTGCCCTGCAGGCAAGCTTGGGGATGATGGGTTTGAGCATTTCCAGTGCTTGATAGTTTAAGGAAAGCATCCTTTATATTGGGTAGTGAGCTGTGGGAGAATAAATTTGGTTCTTTGCTTGGCCTTGTTAAAGGTTTTACTTTGGATGTTTGGGAGCTAAGAAAGGTTAGGTTATACGGCGATTATCCCAGCATACAACAGACCCAGTCTCAGATTGCGTCTGTGGAGCTGCAGGGTGTTGCTGGTGGAAGGGGTGAGTTGAGGTGTCTGGGAGGTGAGACAGACACCTCATGTTCATACGTATGGTGTATGTTCGTTTGTTAACGATTCCGCCCATTGCTCTGGGTGCGTGGTCTATGGCCCTAGTGCTATGGCAGCCGCCTGAGTATTATTATTATTAAAGCTCTTCACACTTAACACTGCATAACTTAGCAAAGGACATCCGTGGGTATGCCCCTAATTAAGAGATTATGAATATAAAATTACTTGCTGTGTCACCGTCGCACAATGTACATTCCATTTCAAAGAACAACAAACTCTAACTCTGCATACACAACATCTATCAAAAAGTTAGAATGTCTTTAAAGCAAAGGTGTACAAAATTCTCTCAGTCCACAAGGAACACTGCTCAATAGCCCTGGGTTATATGAACCATGTACATGGTCAACATACATAGCTTAAAATATCATGGCATCCGTGACAATTAAATACGTGCACAGAACATAAAGGAATACTATCAGGCTACTTCAAACTAAAACTAAGTCTGCGATACATTGTTAGTTGTCTAGTAACAGAGTTCCCTCGCTACCAGGGCTGAGGAAATAGAGCAGGCCACGGCCTGTGCCAATCACAGTAGCTCTCTCTATGAGGCATAGTATCAGTCTGACTGCTCCATAGACATAGAGGACAGCATGTGGCACCATCAGTACTGCTATGGCAGCCACAGCCATTGTTTGTGAGTAGGCATAGACATCTAGAACGGTAGCTGCAGCCGTGAGGTTAAGGAGAAGAACTGTTCCAGACACATTGGCTGCTCTCGGCTGAAACACCAGACATGCTATAGCCATACTGCCACAGGTAAAAACATCACAGACCAGAATATATGAGGCGAAAATACTCCATCAACTATAATGTTTAGTGCTGTGAGTGTACCGTAAAAAACATCAGTGAATATTTTCATTGCAAGAGCCTGCCTTGGTTTCAGACGCTTGCTTAGTCTTCGAAAGCAAGCAGTGGGATAAAACAGTAACAGAAGTGTAGGTGGCAACAGAATTAAGAAGAGAATGACAGCCGAGAGGAATACGACTGGTAAGTGACTGCGACTGAACGGTACAACCATTGGATCAATAAACGAAACTGTTTCGTGGATCTCGCCATTCATTCTATGGACACTCGTGGGAATCGTCGAAACTGAGACAATACTGAAAAACTTGACAAAAGATAAAAAGAAAAGCGTCGCAAATGCTTGTATCACGGATTTATTGTGGTTCCAATGATTAAAGAATATTTTGTATCTATTGAGCTTCCAAAGGAAGACAATCAGTTTGCAATCGTTGGCATAGAGCTCAATTGGGATGTATGTTATAAGCAAGAGAAGAAATGGGTAGAGAGCAGACAAAGTGTCAAAATGGGAATATTGATCTCGTGAACACTTTCTGAAAGGCACAGTGGAGGAGAAAGAAAAATAAAACAATCCAGTGTCCAAAGTGATTTCAGAGTCAATAACAATTTCACTGGAAGTGTGCGAGTGCGAGCAAACAGATAATACTGTCCTAGGTTTGTTTTCAACGCTACCTGCGTCATATTGCAGTAGAGGACAAAGTGTGCCATTGGCGGGGAGACGATGCTGATCTGGACCAAAGTACGACAAGGAATATGAGAGTGATTGGGACATACAGTAGTAAGATGTAATAGAGTAGGTTCTGCACACTGCATGAAGCACACTGACTCCCAAAGGAATATATTGATGGCCCGGTGCCATTACCACAGAAAAGAGTTCTTTGTACCCGGTGGAGATGACCACAAGTGAAACTGTTGAGATCTGAGAGGTTCCGAGGCAGACGAATGAATCCAGCACGAATCAGATGATGGGGAAACACATACGGAGAGTTGGCGGCTTCAGTTTGGTTCAGATACTGATAAGCACAGTGTCCAACCTTCACGTAGGATGTTCTTTCCCTCTGGTTGCAGTCAATGATGGACTTCACCGCACTGCTACAAACACACTCGGGAAACTCTGGGCTGGTCTCGCTGACCTGATTGAACCATGGGGGACACTCAGGAGGCATTCCTCTCACTAACACAAACAGCATCACGCAACCGAAATTATAGTATGCTCCTATATCGAAACTCTGGCACTCACTGCAACGCAGCAGAGACTAAGAGGTCACTAAGGAACATAGAGTAGTTCTCCTCATTTGCATGCAAAAAGCGGCAGAAGTCAGAGTATAGTACAGAGAATATTTGTGGAGATACGAGATCCTTGGATTATGTTTAAGCCCGGTTAAAAAGTGTAAAAAATGTTAGTGCTGCAGAATTTACGATGTCATTTTCTAACTGTAGGTTTACATTTCTACAATGCCATATCAAACATGGCTCATAATGTCAGATTGGCGATACGTGATAAGATGAGGCTATTCCAGGCTTACAGTCATCTGCGACCTACTATGTGTTAAAGCAAATACTTATGCTTATTCACATACGTGTTACATGTACATTGGCTAGTCGTCACAAGTTTACTACCCACAACTTTTCTGAGCCAATTACGTACGTGGTCCCTATATTGTTGCCTAGTGTGCTACTCTTATAGGGAATGTTGCATTATATAAGGGCTAAAGGTTACGAAAAGCAAGCATTCTTTCACCGTCCCCCCAATCTTTTTAGTAACATTTCTACTTTTATACTGCCACAGTCACTTTATAACTGTGTTGGTTACTCAGTAGCATGACTTTTTTGTATAATAAATTCTGAGTATTGTAATGGTGAATGTTAATACTTCACCTAGGCTACAATATAGGGGTTGTGTTATGAGGTTTGGGGTGTCAGCGTGCTCAAATCTGTTCATTAACCATGCTTCGTGTATCCATCCCTATTTTGTCTCCCTTTCTTTTTATACCATCCCTATATGCCTCTATTTTTTAAATTTGCAGGATTTTTAATTTAGCCAAGAGCCAAAAAATGTTTTTATAAACAGAGGCTGTACTTGAAAAGCAAAACAAAAGCTGAATCATTTTCAGTGTTCATGCACAGTACCGCATCAGACCAGGTGGCTACGTATATTGTCGTCAGGTAGTGTAGACCACCATGGAGGTCCATTACCTTTTCATTCTGTTTCTAATGCCAGTGAGAATGTCTCTCAGTGGAGGGACATGACCACCTTGGTTCACTGAAGGTTCATCAGCCTACCCTCAGTGTGTGTGCAGCGGTGCAATGGAGTCAGTGGTGACGTGCAATCAGAGAGAAGGTGCTTCATATGTCAAAGTGGGACACTGTGCTTACCATGACATCTGTACGAATGAAACTGTGGCGGCATACTGCCCATATGTATTTCTACCTCATCTTGTCAAAAACGGACTCATTGACCTACCTCAAAACCTCACTGACCTAAACAACTTTACTTGTAGTCATGTTGAACGAGAAGTGGGGGATGTAAGAAGTAGAAATGGTACTGGACCATCTGTGCATTCAATGTGCTACATGTCCCTCGATAAATATAGTCTTACTATGTACATTATGATGCAGTATGTCCCAATTACTCTCATATCCTTAGTAGTCATCATAATCTTCAGAATCAGCATGGTGTCCCCTCCTTTGGGACACTACATTATGTACTGTAACATAGTACAGCTGGTCTATAAATCATGTGTGGGAAGTACTGTAAAACCATTAAGTTTAGCGTGTTAGCGTTTCTTTGTGGACGCCAATATAACCCTAATGCGCATGCGCAGTATACTACCGCGTGGTTGCAATGGCGTCCTCTTGTAAAGTAGCTCATCAATTATCGGACACCATCACCCGGACACAGCCACTTCTCTCGGACCGGACAGAGTTAGCTATCCTCACTAGGTTCAGTACCTCAGAGAGTGTCACGCAATAGGCATGCACAGCACCAGCTTCCGCAGAGGGATAGTAACGCTGCGGTTGCACAAAGATCGCCTACCGTCCGAACCACCGTCAGTCGGAATATGGCCCCTATGTTCGGACAGTACTTTTTCAAAGCTAAAGAGACAACGGAGACAACGCTATGTACTCAACACTATAATACTACAGCTGAACACGCATTACAGCTGTGCGCAATCCGCAGGCACAAAGACTCTGCCCACTTTAATTTTGCGCATGCCCTTGTCTGTTCTTGAATTTCAGGTGAGACAATGTTTACAAACTCAACACACTCAAGGCCGATACAAAAAAGGTGGAACCATTTTAAACAGTTTTCACACTGGACCCAATCCACAACTGACTTGTCACACCTCAATACAACACATGGAGTAGCTTCACACATCTCTTTGTTTTTACTTTGCTTTGTACCGTGGATGTAGGTACGGGGGAAATGAAACACATGTACATAAAAAATCCACCCATGTGCAGATTAATCAATCTCAGGTAACTCAGCTATTTAATAATGTACAGAATATACTAAGGAACATTACTGTGCAGAATAATGGGTGAAGCCTTTGAAAGTATGCACCACCATAGTAATCGTCACGCCCAGAGAGAATGGTGAGATACAGTGAGGGAATAACAGTAAAGAAATAGTTCCCTACCAGTCTCTCTCGCTCCGTCTTTTGAGCTGTTGTGTGGGCGTGTCTTTACCCCCTGAAAATGACTGTCCACTGCATCTTCCGCGTCACTCACTGCACCGTCTATCTGGTGCTCTGCAGTCACAGTTTGAACAAAACTGAATTATTCTCAGACGACGTTATAGACAGAGGGTGAAAGGCAGGTGGTGAGAGAGAAAGCATTCCTTACCTATCGTTCTAACTGAGTGTATGGAAGATTTTTGCGAGCGTATCTGTGTCCTCTGAGAACGGCCATCTAACTTGTCTGTTGTTCTGTCCTCCACCTTCTCAGCACTCTCTGTCTGGTGTACTCCAGTCAAAGCTGAGAAACAAAACATATGCACATAATGTGCTTTCACAAATATTGGCAAAAAACCTGTGAGAGAGGGGAGAGAAGGAAGATTTTTAATCCTCGGCATGCATGCGCAAGAGATTTTGATGGGTCCCGGGTATGTTGCTAAAAATTTGGTTTGGATAACCAATTGTGTTCCGGGTAGGCCTACAGAAACCCAAAATGGTCATTCTTGTTCGCCCTTGGTGCGTAGAGTGACTTTAGCCTAGTAGCCATTAACTTCAAAGCTTCCGACAACATTACATTCATAGTACCCGCAACCGCAATGCAACAGTGCTGACGCTGGTCAAGTATATTCCTTGTATATACACCGGCATTAATTGTATTCCAATGGCCGTATAACACGTGGCAGAGCTGAGCTTTGTGAAAAACATTGGCGCTCGGCAAATTCGGAAGATACTGATGCAGGTTTTGCCACTGGTCGGGTTTTTACTTCCTTGGTGAGGTGTTTCTCCAGGCTCTAGCCGATTATCGTTTGCGCTAATGCTGACTCTAGCTGTCGCGCGAAACGGCGACGCAATCTCTGTCAGAGTACTCTTGTGGAGCCAGCAGGAGAGCTGAAGGCTACGTGACACTACTGTCGGAGTTGTTTGGCTACAAACAGGTTAACCCGTGGGTTTAGAAGGCATCCCTCGTGCGGTAGTGATAAGCACCTCGGGTATATTCCCTGTGTACCCTATGCATTTCAGTCTGCATGGTCAAATATAAACATAATGTGCTTTCACAAAAAAGCTAAGAGGGAGAAAGGGAGAGAATATTTTTTACCTATCTTTCCTGCTTGGACCTTCTGTGATCGTGTCTGAGCTCTGCGAGAATGGCTTTCGGCCCCTTCTGCGTTTCCCTCCTCAACATCCACTGCACTTTTCTTTTGGTGTGCTCTGGTCACAACTAGGATGTACAATATGATTATTGAGTGGGAGAGAAAGTGATAGGTTCCTTACCAGTCTTTCTCAATAGATTGTTGGTGCGGTTGCGAGACCTTGTCTGAATACCATGGTCAGTCTGTTCTGCAGTGTCACCTTCTACGTCCACACCATCTCTCAGGTGCATTTCAGTCACATCTAGAGAGAATGGTGAGATACAGTGAGGGTAGAGAAATATTTCCCTACCAGTCTCTCTCGCTCCGTCTTTTGAGCTGTTGTGTGGGCGTGTCTTTACCCCTGAAAATGACTGTCCGACTTCTGCACTGCATCTTCCGCGTCACTCACTGCACCGTCTATCTGGTGCTCTGCAGTCACAGTTTGAACAAAACTGAATTATTCTCAGACAACGTTATAGACAGAGGGTGAAAGGCAGGTGGTGAGAGAGAAAGCATTCCTTACCTATCGTTCTAACTGAGTGTATGGAAGATATTTGCGAGCATGTCTGTGTCCTCTGAGAACGTCCATCCAACTTGTCTGTTGTTCTGTCCTCCACCTTCTCAGCACTCTCTGTCTGGTGTACTCCAAAAGCTGAGAAACAAAAAAAGGAATTGTCTGTAGGAAAGAAAGAGGGCACATTCCCAACCTTTCTTTCTCACTAGGTCCTGGGTGGGGTAATGCAATTGTTTTGTGATGCCATATTCACCTAATGCTGCTCTACTCGTAGCTGGAAAATGGTGAGACCAATCAACACAGTGTAGGTAGGCATTGATGACATTCCTTACCCTCCTTTCTAACTGGGCCCTGATTTGACTCAGCGTTCGTTCTGCAGCCTGGAGGATCAGCACTAAAGCTGTCCTCAAATAATGTTTACATTTTAGACCTGCATCACAAAGCACTGAGAAGCAACTGCTTTGCTTACACTATATGACAGTGTCTCTAGTGTTCTCAAAGGTTTCCTTCACTTGAAAATATGTGGGTGTTAGTACTGGATAAAAGGCCTACAGTATTCCCACCGGTTCGTATATAAACACGCACACATTTGCATAATAGGTAAGTCAACTACGCATCTCTGTTCATTGACAATGTACTGTATATTATACCTTGCTCTTCATAGTCTGCATATTCTGAATCATCCATCTCAACATGGTCATCATAGTCATCCTCGGCAGTAGGAGAATACGTAAGTTCCCGGGGAAGAGGCCTTCCTACGTCATTTGATTCACACCGGACACGCCTCTGTGATCTTGAAAGAAATGGCATAATTATATTGGATTCCCCCCCTCTGAGCTAGAACAGCTGTGGGAGTGTTGGTGCAAGGATTACTTCCGGGAATATTGATTGTTCTGCGGTTGAGAGGGAACACCCCTGTTGCTCTGAACCCCGCGGCTATCGTTTGAGGAGTCATTGCTTTTGACCAAGAGGCTGAAAAAAGGAAAGAGAATTGGTATATCGTGATGAGTCGGCATGGGTTAGCTGACATAAATTTGTCGCATTCAGTATCCCAGTACGTTTTCAGGGAATGAAATGCCGAAACATCCAGAGGCTGTGTTATGTGGGTTGTGTGAGGTGGCAAAAAAAACACGATTACGCCTTCCAGTGAAGCCTCACGGATGAACTCTAAACTGTAGTGAGAAGAGTGGCCATCGAGAATTAGTGGTAATGGCCTGGTTGATGGGGTATGCTGAAGAAAATGACGGTGGAACCACTCCTGGAATAGCTCTCTATCCATCCATCCACTAGCAGACAAGCCATAAATCGTTCCAGAAACTTCATCAGTTGTCAGTTGAGGTATCAGGGTCTTCCTCTGGAACACAACCATGGGTGGAAGAGCATAGCCAGAAGCACTAACACAAGCCAACACTGAAATATGTGTCTTGTTACCCGAGTTGATAACATGCACATGCTTCTGGCCACGAACAGTTACCCTCTTTCCAGGGCGATGATGAAGAGGGAGGCCAGTCTCATCAGCATTGAAGATGAGGTGAGGCCTTGAAGAGAGGCGGTTTCACACAAACACTTCTTCGAGCAGGTCGAAATACTTATCAATAATAAGACGGTTAGTGCTGACAGCACGATGATAGGCAAGGGATTCTCCGGTGCGGAGGGTAAGATGGGGGTGGCGCGCTCGGAAATGATCCCACCATCCATGGCTAACAACCACATTCTCCAGGTTGTTCTTTGCTGCTACTATAGCTCCCACAACACTTCTCACCTCTCGCACACTCTTTGCATAGCCAATGGCGGCACACCCTTCAATCCACCTCACTAACTCCTCTTCTTCCTCCTTATCCAGATAGCGAGGAGCTCCAGCTGCAGCACCAGGTTGAACCCTCCCACTAATGCGGTCATGCAGTGTTGACTTGGGCACTCCAAATTGAATCGCTGCCTCCCGTACGGACATCCCTTGGCTGGCTGCCTGTTGCGCGTTTTCCATTGCTTCCTCAGTCCACATCTTTCTCTTCTGAGGTGCTGCAGGCGAAAACGTAGGCTTTCTCCCCGATGGATAGTGTCAAGATCCCCGGAAAATACGCTCGTTCAGTGGCACACTTTGATGCTTCTCACGAAGTGTTGTAGGCTATAAAGCAAAAGAAATTGATTCACTGTGTTCCATCGCAACTGACCACTGTCAGTCGTAATAATATGACCCCTAGGTTCAGACAGTGATTAACCCTCGGTGCGCATGCGCAGCGAGGGTTACAGTACTTGGTCTGTGTGTCTGTCTGTTTGTCTGTCCACACGAGTTCTTGCACTATAGGCTACGAGGCGGCCCAAGACCGATACCAGCAGCTTCAGGGCTACGAAAGCATGAAAATTAAAAAGACAATTTTCCTGCGTTCCAGAGATATGCCGTGAAAACAAGGGAAAAGCCAATATGCACAATCGTTCTGGCTTACCTCAACCTGATCTGCTCGCTCTGCGTACCTTGGAGGCGCAAAAAGTCACAACGATGGGCGTGTATCGACTCCCGCATGTTATCTACTAGTAGCTAGCCCATGTCAGACTCCGCGAGCTAGCTACTAGCGTGGAAACCGAGTAAACGCGAACCACACTGACTCCACCCATCTCCGTCTACCACACCCCGACATATCTACGTTCAGAGTCGGAAAAGGGGATGGACAACCAGGTAAACTAGAAGGCTCCACACAGACGGTATATACACGAGTATTTACGAAGACTCTCCACCACACACAGCAGTGTGTGCGTGTTTGGGGTTAGTAAACACTGATAAATTAGAACGGACGGAAGCCCCCAGTCTTTGCAGACAAGACAGTGAAGAGTACGTGAAACTGTAAAGAAAATCAACGAAAACTCAAACGCCCTCATTCTTACCAGACGCGTGTGTCCCCCTAACCATTGCCCAACCTTGTGTCTCCACCCCCTTAAAGTTCAAAGCTCTGCACTGCCCTTCCAGGATGGCACACACACATACAACTAAACATAGCATGCTATACAGAGAAATAGTCCCTGCGCATGTGCGTGTGTGGGTAATAATGGGCCTACATGCTTTCCATCCACTCTCCGGTTTGGTGACAAACAGAAATACCTCAATTGATACTGGAGACACGTGTTTTTTATGGGAACGAGCCTACACTAATTCGCTACAAGAGTAATCCAAGCCCTTAGCCATCTGTACAACACGCGCACACAACAAAATTGTTTCTGGTGTCACCCTGATCATTTGCCACATCGTTGTTCAGTCAGACAATCAGCAGAGAAGGCAACAACACACCATCTGAACTACCACGTGCTTCAAACGATTGTGCATGCGCATTTGAGGTGAAAAACCGCAGATAACTTACTAGTTCCGGAAAGGACAAACTTTCGGCATGTAACTCGCCTTGCCCTAGCAGTGAGTTGTAGGTATACAAGACATTGCGGTCCGATAATTCGAAGGTATCCGATAAAGAGTGGTGTCCGGTGATTGATGCGGCACTCTATATACGGCTGGCTGAAAAAGGCTGGAATCAAAAGAATCACCTCCGTTGTTTCCAAGCCCAGCAGATCTGTGCACTTCAGCTGCCAATGATAGTGTGCAACAGGTGTCGAAGGAAAAATGCCGAAAACTGGGCAGGTACCATGACTATGATCCTGAAGTACGGGCTAAGATAGCAAAACATGCGTGTCAGCACGGTAACAAGTCAGCTGCATTAAGATTCACGCAAGAACTCGGCCATAGTGTTTCTGAAAGCAGCGTGAGGAACATGAAAAAGGCGTACCTGCGTGTGCTGAAGAGTGTACCGGACTCTGACGAGGTTGTTAGTTTGCCTCACGCTAGCCTCGGCCAACCGTTATTACTCGGAGAGGAGCTAGATACTAAAATTGTGGAGTACATACAAGCCTTACATTTGGCGGGTGGTATTGTCAATCGCTCTATTGTGCAAGCAGGAAGGGAATAGTCGCCCACAGCAATCCCTCTCAGCTCCAGGAACATGGTGGGCACAATTATACAGATTGGTGTGAAATGGGCAGTCTTTCCTAAGACGCTGTGGATATGTTAAGAGAAAGGCAACCAAGGCCGCACGAAAAACTGTAACGAGTACATAGGATTGTATACCTGTATACTCTCGTGACTGCACGTGATGTGTGAGATTCTGTACCGTGTGCATTCTGTGTGAATGGTGGTTTTGAGCTAACTGGCAGCCGTCTCTGTGCCTGCACATCCACCCGTTACATGGTGGCAGCGGTGGGATAACGCCATCGGCAACCGTCTGACACGAACAACATGGCGTCGAACTACACGCTCCCTCCCCCGCCAGTACTAGAAATCCACGACCAGCAAGCAGCCGAGAAATGGAAAAAGTTCAAGCTCGCCTGGACGAACTATTCTCTGGCCACTGGCCTGAGCGACAAGGCCGAGCCAGTTCAAGTGGCTACGCTATTAACCGTCATTGGTGAGGAGGCACGCGAGGTGTTTTCCACATTCTCAGGTTGGGAGCACGACGGCGACGAGGAGAAAATCGCACCAGTCATCGCGAAATTCGAACAATACTGCCAACCTCGTCGAAACATCCCGTTCGAAAGATACCGCTTCAACCGCCGATCGCAGGAATCCGGAGAGACGTATGATCAGTACAGAACGTCACTACGGAAAATCGCAGAAAATTGTGATTTTCGTTCCATCTCTCCAGACGAGATACTACGATGTTGTGGACACTCGTGGGATTCATCGAATCTGTGACAATGCTGAAAAATTTCACAAAAGATAAATTGTATCAGGGATTTATTGTGGTTCCAATGATTAAGGAATATTTTGCATCTACTCAGTTTCCAAAGGAAGACAATCAATTTGCAATCCTTGGCATAGAGCTCAATTGAGATGTATGTCAGCAGCAAGAGAATAATGGGTAGAGAGCAGACAAAGTGTCAAAAATGGGAATATTGATCTCATGAACCTTTTCTGAATTGCACAGTGGAGGAGAAAGAAAAATAAAAGGATCCAGTGTCCAAAGTGAGTTCAGAGTCAATAACAATTTCACTGGAAGTGTGCGAGTGCCAGCAAACAGATAATACTGTCCTGCGTTTGTTTTCAACGCTGCCTGCGTAATATTGCAGTAGAGGACAAAGTGTGCCATTGGCGGGGAGACGATGCTGTATCTGGACCATAGTACGGCAAGGAATATGAGAGTGATTGGGACATACAGTAGTAAGATGTAATAGAGTAGGTTCAGCACGCTGCATGAAGCACACTGGCTCCCAAAGGAATATATTGATGGCCCGGTGCCATTAGTACACCTACCACAGAAAAGAGTTCCTTTTTCCCGGTGGAGATGACCACAAGTGAAACTGTTGAGATCTGAGAGGTTCCGAGGCAGACGAATGAATCCAGCACGAATCAGATGATGGGGAAACACATACGGAGAGTTGGCGGCTACAGTTTGGTTGAGATACTGATAAGCACAGTGTCCAACCTTCACGTAGGATGTTCTTTCCCTCTGGTTGCAGTCAATGATGGACTTGACCGCACTGCTACAAACACACTTGGGAAACTCTTGGCTGGTCTCGCTGACCTGATTGAACCATGGGGGACACTCAGGAGGTATTCCTCTCACCAACACAAACAGCAAACTCTGGCACACAGAGCGAGATGCGCAGATTTAGTAAAGAAAACTATCGGAGCAACTTGCACGCTTCACTCACTTGTACAGAACTTGTATTTGTTGCAATTTTCCCCCTAAGCCACGGCATATTGTGGGTCCACTCTCATAAAACAATGAACCCTCTTTCCTAAAATTCCTAAAACTTCGCCGCCGGAGCCCGTGTAGGAAAAACATGTTTTTACAAACAGATCAGGTTAGAGAAGTTAAAAAAGCCAAACTCTCTTTTCAGCTGATAGGGAAAATGCACAATATACAACTCGACATCATGTGACTACTGTTGCCATAAGTGCGGTAGTATGACTATCCATGGCCAGTTTCGACAACACGCCTCCACACCCACATGGGACGAGGTGAACGCACAGCTTGCGAGTACATCCCGAACACACATGTTCGTACTTTTATAGTCGAACCATGAGCAGGAGGCCAGGAGCCAGATGACGAGCAGTCCCTCATTTCCGAGGTTACAACGCAGCAGAGAGTAAGAGGTGACTAAGGAACATAGAGTAGTTCTCCTTATTTGGATGCAAAAGCAGCAGAAGTCAGAGTAGAGTCAGAGAATATTTGTGGGGATATGAGAGCCTTGCACTATGTTCAAGTCCGGTTAAAAACAAACATGTAAAGAAGGTTAGTGCTGCAGAATTTACGATTTAATTTTTCTTCTAACTGTAGGCTTACATTACTACAATGCCATGTGAAACATGCCACATGATGTCAGATTGGTGATACGTGATAAGATGAGGCTGTGCCAGGCTTACAGTCATCTGCGACCTACTATGTGTTAAAGCAATGCTTATGCACATAGTGTGTCATGTATATTGGCTAGTCGTCACAAGTTTACTACTAGGCATAACCTTTCGGAGCATGTGGTCACATGAACATCCCATCAGAGCCAAAAAACATGTTTTTACAAACAGAGGCTGTACTTGAAAAACAAACAGTAAGCTGAATGATTTTCAGTGTTCATGCACAGTATAGCATCAGACCAGGTGGCTACGTATATCGTCGCCCGGTAGTGCAGACCACCATGGAGGTCCTCTACCCTTTCATTCTGTTTCTAATGCCAGTGAAAATGTCTGTCAGTGGAGGGACATGTCCACCTTGGTTCACTGAAGGTTCATCAGCCTACTCAGGGTGTGTTCTACGACGAAATTCCGAATTAACGAACGGCTCGCTCCCGCTCGCCAATAATTGATTATTGCCAATTAAGACGCTGGAAGCAGTATTTACTATGGTAGTAACGTGACGTCAAACAGCCCTGGCGGGAAGAATGGCGGACGCGACGCGAGCGCTTCGCTTCTGACGGCCTCAGCGGTGGCTCGTTCTAGCGACCTTTTTCGTTGGGAATGGAAGATTGGACTGATTTACCGCCATGTTCACCCGAGGCAACGCCACTTACGAGAAAGCGCCGTGTTGAGCGGCGGGCAAATCCGGGAAAGGGAGGCTCCGGTCCGTCGTCTTCGCCTCCATCCAAGAGTAAGCGCCTAAGTCTTTCCAAGAAATGCTCCCACTGGTGGGAGTTCTTAGACGAATGCGCCGAAGGAGCGCTCGCGAAGAAGTATGTTCCGAAAAACACGGATTCTAGTGGCGTTGCCTCGGGCGGTAAATCGGTCCAAAAAAGGTCGTGCTATTTGTACTTAGAGCCGGGTAATTTAAATTGCGCAATCTGATTGGTCCGTGCGCGGACTCTAATTCGAGTAGAGCGAATTTTCCGGACTCTAAATTTGGCGCATGCGCAATGGCTCACTTACGTTGGGCGGAGTCCCCCAACGGTCTGCGAAGGTACGTAGAGGCGAGCCCGTTGTCGACGTCCTCCCTGGGCCTCTCGCTCGACTTCCCAGCGAGAAAGCAGCGCTCGTTCGCGGTTTCAGATGCACCGAATTTGAATTGCGCGCACGCGTTGCCATAGCTCTAAACAAGTTAGACGCCTCGTCCATGGAAACTACGCGCATTAGAGCGCCTTGGGGGCCCTTAGTAGCGTCCTCGCTGCGCTCGAACGCCGACAGCCCAGGGCCCCCGCGGCTCTCTAATGCGCGTAGTTTCCTGGACTCGGCATCTAACTTATATACAGTATAGTACTGACTAAAATTCCACACCCGTTATTGACACCTGCAACATCCTAACCACAGCCCTGTTGGCAGTTTATTTTGCGGAATAAACTTAGCAACACCTTAGCAACAGGCAATAAACATTATTGTATGATGACTGAGAGTAAGATCAAAGGAATTCCAGCTAGTCCAAACAACGTAGATGCGTAGTGAGCGCTTCCTGCTCAGTCTATATACCGGTATTTAGAACATAAAGAGGCCATACAATTTCCCCATACTTTAGCTGTATGTCAACTCATTTGCATAAACCACAGTGGGTCTACTGGAGTTAGACGATAGTAGGAAATTGGCAGCGTGGAATGCAATTGGGGGCTTTTACACTCTTTGTGTGCTGCTGTTTCTTCACCAGAAGGGAGTGTTTTCAGGCTAGAATGGCCAGAAACTGCTCTAGTAGCATATACGCGGTCTGAAAACTAGCGAAAGCTGCTTCCCGACGCGTAGGCTCCCGTAGACTGGAACAGTATTCGGTGACTTTCAGCTTTCTTGCTACTGCAACAGGCTGCATTCGAGAGTGCTGGGTATAGCGGGAGAGAAAGCGAGCCAGAGCGGCAGCTACAAAACTCGTGTGGAGTCTAGCAGCGAAAAAGCATAGCTTTGACGTACCTGTAACGTTGAGCTCTCGAGAAATGACCATGGCTTCTGCACAACCGCCCAGCTTGACAAAACTAAAGCGCTTTATTGCAGCTGTCTCTCTCCCGATCGATTGCGCTCTCTCCGTACACTCGAGGGTGTGCGTTAAAAAGAGGGCGTTTTGAAAGCTTTTGCGCAATCTCATTGGTCAGAGCCTTACCGCCGGAAGTCATCATACAAACACGTTATACGAAGGCATTGGCTTGTGGTCTACTGATTACACACTCGTGGCTTCAGTTTTGATAGACCACTCGACCTACGCCCTCGTGCCCTATCATAACTGGCCACTCATGTACATACAACCAGTAGACCACGCGCGCCATCGTATATACTAGTAGGCGAATGCATGGCATTTTTGGCGAGCGGAAGCGCGCTTACAATTGGGGTCTAATCGTATGAGTCACTCTTGTGTGTGCACAAAACAGTGAGATACATTGCACAGGACCAAGTAGGCCGAAACGACCCGAGCACAGTAGACAATTCGAGTCGAGTCAAAAACAGTCAGACGACAGCGCGAATCAGGCATAATCCGGCAATCTGATTGGTCTTGCAGGAATTAGGCTATTGCAAAATTGTTGAGTTTGCCCCTGTGGGGCAGCATTCCCGCGTGTATAGCCATGGTATCAGAATATCTGCAATAGCAAGGGTGGAGCGCAGATAACGGCAAAAAATTAGTGTCAAAGTGCTGTGCAGTATTTGCATTTACTTTGACGATTTTATCCACGACCACCAATCTGCCAAACTAAAAGACTGCAATCCCACTAAACCATCTTACTCACTGCATTGTAACTCTGTTGTTCAGTGACACACAGCACCTAATGTTTAGGCCAGTTTGCAAAGCACAGCTTATGCTGTACATTAGTGTTTGGCATCTACTGCAGTTAACGTGAAAAAATATGCAGGTCAAATGTGTGAATATGTACGGGTGAGGCACAAATTCATCTGTGCAGTTTTTATGAACAAAATCTCTGGTTTGGCTGTGGACTATGTACATATGTATGTAGATATGTATATAGGCAGATAGCTTATAAGGCTTTTCTAAATATTGCCTACTCTCAACTACATATGTGCACAAGAATGTATTTACTGTATTGTACATCTACTGCAGTTAATACAGGAAATGAGGGTCGAGGCACAATTATGCCAATTTACCTGTGCGTTTTGATGTACAAAAATAATTTTAATACATCTATTCTACATGTGAGACACAGACTGGTTTGGTTATGGACTAAAGTAGAGTGCATGCTTGATGGATTCTAAATATTGCCCTCCCCCAACTATGTACACAAGAATGTCAGTAGAGTAACAGGTCCACAAACATGGAACCCTAAAGAGATTGGAACAAACCCCAGCGAATGACACAAGGATAACATCACTCACTGACCGGAAGGTGGTAGATGTTGTCTGACTTCCTCCAGGGCTGTGTGCTCCTCCAGGTACCATAATACTCCAGCTATCTCCTCCCATGATGCACCAGGTACAGTCTGGAGGTAGTACTGTAGACCTGCAATCCTTTTCTCCTCCTCAGTTGGGTGTGATGGACTTGCCCTGATATCATCCATCACTGACTGGGGGACACCAAGCACCTCCAGCAGCCCTAACTCATCATCTCCCCTCCAGAACTGTCTCACAGAGGACACAGCAGGTAGCAGTGTGTGTGGAGTGAGACTGTCATCTGGTAGGGAGGAACACCACTTGTACATCACAACGGACAAATATGGGACAATAATAACGAATGCCATGCATTATTGGTGAGCGAGCACGAGCTGTTTTTATTTTTCGAGAGTATTTACATTGACATTCAAAAGCTACAGAAGAGTGGCCAGTAACAATGAGAGACTGACAGAACTGACTGCTCAAACATGCATGCACCCAATGGAGAGATAAATCGTCACTTTATTCATAACAATTGTTTAGCACACCAGCATATGAAAAGAACAAGAAAGCATATCCTCCGCCATTCCCTTTCTACACACAACCAATCCAGTGTCGACAAGTTCTGTACACACATGCAGATACACACAGACACACACACACAGACGAGAGCCGGTCACTAGCTATGTAGGTGGCCAGCCTTGAGAACTGGGGCAGTGGGTTGCCAACTCTCCACACACACATACCAAACATAGTACATTGTGTGCTTTGTGTTTTAATTTGCAGATTTTTTTGTTACAACCTTAATACAGATTAAAATAATTCTCACTCGCATTTGCTTGCCATTGTTCGTTCTAGTACATACTTACCAGTGAGAGGTTCAGCATAGGATCTTATGGAGTCAGCCATCTTGGTTTCTTCCATTTCATCTAGTGCCCCAATGAGTCTCCTCCAGCTTGCCAGTGGGTAGGTGTTAATCCAGTGTGAAATCAGCTGTTTCTTCTGCTCCATCTCATCTGGGAACTTCTGTCTAATCTCCTTTCTCATTGAGGGAGGTATGTAGAGACAGTATCCCAGTCCCCTCTCCCCCCACCAATCCCCCACCTCCCTCACTTCTCTCATCACATTGGAGGGAGTGAGAGGAACACCTGCAGCAACACACACCAGAGACAACAGTCAACACACTGGGTGTAGTAGAGAGTCCAGTTATGTATTACCCCAGAAAGTATGTACTAGTGAGCCCAGTTACACCCTTCGTAGTAGTGTTGTGTTGCTATTACCCCCAGCTATGTATGCTACATACATTCCTAAACGACTACTGTCCCCATGCAGATTGAGGGAGTGACTTCTATTCATTGTGCGGAGTGCTAATAGACACAGTACGCCATGGCGTATTGATGCAAAGTGAGCTATATACAAACGAGTTGGCTGTATAGCTCCTGGACGTTCTAAACTGTATGTGTGTGCGCTTCAGTATGCATTTACTCGTGGTCTGCTGCTAGTAGTTCAGCTACATTAGTAGAAAGCATTAGAGAGTCGATTCACGTCCTTTGTTGTGACTTCTTGTTCCTCCAAGGTATACAGAGCAAGAGGATAAGGTTGAGGTACAAGCCAGAGCGATTATGCATTGGCCTTTTCGCTTGTTTTCAATCTCTCGAACACAGCCGTTTCAGGAAAGTCGATTATTTTAGGATTGCGTAGTTCAGAAGCCATTGGTATCACTCATTTGGCCACCTCGTAGCCTGTAGTGCAAGAATAGCTGCAGATCAAGTACTGTAAACCCTCGCCGCATTCGCATGCCACTGATACTGTCTTTTGAGTAGCAAGCCACACACATAAAAGAAGACGGGTGACCACACTTACTTCTCTTTCCTCTCCTGCTCCTGGAGCTTTCAGGACTCTTCCTTCTGCTCAGTGGCACATGTTTGGAGTCTGCAGAGATCATTACTGGCTGTTAGTGTGTTTGTGGCTCTACGTACGTTCTCAATAGATATTTTTCTCGTAAGTATCAGCTAAGCTCTTACATTTTCACGTGGTAGCTTTCATCTTTGATCAACCCTAGCTACTGTAGTAGCTACACAGGTCGAGGCCTGGAATTATCGGTGGGTGGAAAGCTACTTACATCTCTTCCCTCGTCTGGGACTATGAGGACTCCTCCTTCCTGGTTTGACGTCCGCCATACCCTGATTGTTGTGCTACGGGCTAAACTAGAAAGAAAGGACAGCATAACCAGCCCGTTCCGTTTATGCGCATGCCACGCCCAAACATTTACTGACATCACGTGATTAGAGCGCAGGTGGGTTACTACTGAAGTTTCTCTTTATAGGTGAAAGCAGCACAGAAGAAGTTGCTATCAGAGGAGTCAGTTCTGTGGTTGTAGCTCCTAGCTCACTAAGTGATTCTGTTCTTATTGCACCCTCCCTCCCTCCCTCCCTCCCTCCCTCCCTCCCTCCCTCCCTCTCTCTCTCTCTCTCTCTCTCTCTCTCGTCCAGGTGATACTGGTGTGAGAGATCATCCATTCTTTGAGGAAGTGGACTGGCAGAATCTTCTGAGAGAGAAAGCAGAGTTCTTCATTCCCCAGCTCAAGGGAGAGGAGGACACCTCTTACTTTGACAGTCAGTCACTACAACACTTTACTTGCTACGTCTTATTTTAAAGAGAGTGTGGGAATATTAAAGGTTCAATTGGAAACCTAATTGAATTCTTGTACTGGGCCGTATTGATTTAGCCCTTATGTACTGCCACCTTTCCATCGTTCCGTCTTATATCCTGTTTTTTGTCTCTCTCACTACTTCTACTATTGTACAGTACACTGCACTCCCTACTGCATGTTCCCTAGCACCCATCTAATTCCTTGTTCACACTTTTCTTTCGTTTATCTCTTTCTTTCTTCTTACGTACACTTCTTACTCGCTGCCCTCGCTCTCTTTCACCTTCCTTCTCCTCCTCCTCTCTCAGGTCGAGATGACCGCTATACCCACGAGTTTGTCAGCGACGACGACGAAGAAGATGGAGTTGACGCCAACAACGACCCTCTCCAGCAGTCGTTTGCCAACTTCAGCCAGGTGGCACCCCGGTTCTGCCAGATGATGGAGGAACTGCAGAGCTCTCTGTGTGAAGAGACAGACCCCAGCACACCCCAGCACACACCAGCACCAGCAGCTCCTGAAGAGTAAAATGGTTCCCATTCTGTCTGGAGAAGGCCCCAAACACGAACACAGAGACTCTGGAATCTCTGGTGAGTAAACAAGAGATCTCCACTAGGCCAGGAGGCATCATGTGTGATTCGGGCACACTATCTTTCCTCTGTGGTGTGTGCGATGGTCAGTGGCGATGCCATATTATAAGATGGGCTTTTTGTCTGCTCAACTGAAGTTGTGTTCTCTGTTCAGTTGAGTCAAGGAATACCTGACACGTGAACACAAAGACTACTTTAGACCGCAACTGTGTATATTGTGTAATGCAGTAGGTGAAACAAGTGTTGTGTCCTCCCAACCCCTAGTTATGAGTGGGTCATCGTCGATCACACCCACTCCGGTGGGCAGTGAGGAGGTAGTGCCGTCCTCTGGCCAGCCGGCGGCGGCCGAGACTGTCAAGATCCTCCTGACTGCCACTGGTGTTGCCAACACTAGTACAACTACTGGTGGTGGTGGCAGGGAGAGGGCAAGAGACGCTGCACCAGAGGGAGAAGAAGAGGACAACATTGTCACCACAATCGATGAGGTGTGTGTGCACACGTTGCTAGGCTAGCAAACTGAGTCTAACCTATCTCCTGTGTTAGCCAGAGAAGTACTCTCGGCGGTGCATTATATAATTCTCTGTCATCATGTGTTACTGCAGGTGAGTGATGAGGAGCCAATGTTGGACGAGGGAGAGAAGACCCCAGAGCCACTCCAACAGATGCCCACCTCTCCCCCTCCCTCCATCACCACCCACTCGTACACGGCTGCCTCGTGTCTCTCCCAGAGGAGGTGTGGCCTCGGTGACGACATCTCTCAGATCTCCATCGCTGACATCACTGTGTGTCCACCCACTCCTGGTGGGTGTGGCCTCGATACACTAGTCTAGATGGTGGTCATGCACTGAGTGTTACCCTTCTCTTGCAGCATGTGTAACAGTTAAGCCATTCGGCAAGTTATGAATTTGGCCCGTGCTTTTCCCCATATCAGCGGGCTGCTTTGATATTAGGTGTCTACCGTGGGTCCAGCAGCAGCGTGGCTGAGGCCAGCCCTCTCAGCAGCCCGCGGCACTCCCAGATGGTCGCAAGTACATACGCAATCAAGAGAGGTCCCAGTGGCTACGGCATGATCCTCATGGCCATTCGAGTCTACATCGGACAGACTGACGACTACAGAATACACCACATCATTGAGGTATGGTATTGCATGCTGCAGACTCCTTTACATTGTACTGTATACATGTTTTGAAACATGACAAACTCTCCCTTTGTACATGTTTCCTGCAGAAAGTGGACAAGAAAGGTCCGGCGTGGGAGGCAGGTCTGAGGAAAGGTTGCCTGGTGACGCACATCAACGGTCAGTCGGTCATCGGACTCCACCACATACAAGTCATGAAACTCATGATCGACAAACACAATTCTTTCTTGTACATCAACACCATTCCTCTTGAGGACACCAGCATTCGCAAGGACAAGAAGAAGAGGCTGCCGACACTGGGTCATCGAGTTGGGAAGCTCTTCCGCCACCGCTCAAGCGTGAGCGGTCGAATAAAGAAGAAGTCGTTCAACAGTCGCATGCGAGGGAGGGACAGGAAAGGAGTGGACAGCTCTGGCCACTCCTCCAGCAGCACACCCTCGCCAAAACACTCCTCGTCCCGGTCTCCCTCGCACAGATCATCACCCCAAACTCCTCCCCTCCCCCTCCCGGCTCCGTGCAGAACCTGAGCTCTGCCTCCTTCACCACGGCCCCCAACTCTCCCCCCATCTACACCAAGAGACTGGAGCGGCACAGCGTCACTGAGTCCCAGCTGGTCATGCACAAGAAGTCCCAGAGTGCCTGCGAGCTGCCCACACCGAAGCACCCTTCCCCGCACACCTCACCCCTGCTGCAGAGAGCCATGTCTCCCTCGTCGGAGGGCCCCGGGCTCCCGGCCAGACACTCCACCACTCTCCCGCGACAGCACAAACACAAGACTATGAGCAGCTCTGAGCTGACCCGCTCCACCTCCCACTACCACCCCAAGAAAGAAGAGGTCAAACTCTCCACGACCCTGTTGTAGCCACAACACTCTTCTTTCTTCTGTCGTTACGTTTCATCAAGCAAGGGGCTGCCCCCCACTCTCTCAATATTGTCTCTATCCTGTATCCTCACACCAGGCACTACTCACTGTGCCTCAAGATTCACACCCAAACTCTTTGTCTCAGTGCCATAATTTACAGTCTGTGTGTGAATGTGTGTTTCTCTATGCAGCGGTGTTTGTGTGTTGCCTTTTCTCTCCGTTTGTCTGATCCAATTGTCACCTGTATTTGTTGTATATTATGTTGCCGCATCTCTTAAAAAAATTTTTTTTCTCAATTTGAGAGTTAGCAATAAGGCGCCACCTATAATTACGCATGGTCGAGACATGGCCTGCGTTTTACAGTAATGAGCAAGTCTATTATGACTAGCTGCCATGAGTATGAGAGAGTGGGGATTTCTGCAGCACTGTGATGAGGTTTGTGTTTGCTGTTGCCGAATTTAGGCCTAAGAATGTTCCCGCTATTGTAACAGCCCACAAAAAGGTCACTTGGGAAAGGATCTATTATGTGTTCACCTGAGCCTGGAAGTCATTGTGTAAACTGTTTATACAAGTACCCTGTACTTCACACTTTTGTTGTCTGGACACACAGCAAACTTTACACTAATCGGGTTTCTGGAAATTCCAATGGTAGCGTTTTTACAACTAGGTTTTCAAGGGCTCAGGTGAAGTCAAACTTTAGGAACGAGCTTTCTGGTGAGATAACACAAGTAAGTCTATTAGAGTGTGACCTCGCAACTGCTCCACATGATGTTACGCAGCATGCACATTCTCCAGTGTGACAGCATTGGATATGATATAATAAGGGAAAAATGTGTAGGCTCGCTTAGCCAGCCAATAATAATGTGTGAAGATACCGGTATGTTCAATATGGATGTAAGTGAGGTTGGTTCGGCTATTGTGGAGGTGGCACTGTGGAAGAGAGAGAGGAAAAAAATAATTGGTGAGCAAAGCGGGCCCACCTAGTAGTCTGAATGTGGAATTGTTCTATGTTATATGTTGTGACACCCGCACTGCGCACTGTAACTGTTTACGTGATTCTAAATACACGTGAAAACTGCGCACTCTAATGTTTACGTCAAAATGTGTTGCATTCCTCTAGTGATTTGTATTTGTGAGAACAACACAAGGGATAAGGTGTATGACCAGTTAAACTTACCATTGTACTTGGCAGCAATCTCCATGGCAAGGGCACGGTCTTTGCCTCCAACTGGATGAGCCACTGCATCCACCAGCAGTTTCCATGACGGATCCCCAAAACTCTCTGTGTCATACGACTTCTTCAACCATTCCTCCAACACATCAGATAAGTTGTCCTCGACGTCGTTTTGCTTTGCATTGATTCTGTTGAGGAAGTTTGGATCCAGTCTGAGAGCTAGTCCCACCTTCTTCCACTTGTGAGCCACTCCCACCAGTTCAGAGCAGACGGTGAAGAGATCGTTGATACCTGCACTTACGAGAGAGGGAGATGTTGCAATTTGAAGTACAGATGTGTCAACAAAGCAAGGCAAAGCAACTACATCCTTTTTCAGGAAAAAATAAGAACTACCCTGGGTGGGATTCGAATCCACGACACTCTGCAGTGCTCTACTAACTGGGCTAACAGGGCAACTCAGCAGGTACCATGTTGTCAGCACTGTGCATGGTGTACGAGAGAGATGCCATGCCTGAAGGGTGAGTTGTCGTTTCGACAATTTTACCAGGGGTTCAAATCTTCAACGTGCACACACAAATTATGGTTACCAAGTGGTTTTGTCTCTGGAGTGGGAGGGGCAGGAAGGGGAGCATCACTTGCAGAAGGAATTGATGTTGCAGCAGTCGAGGATTCCACAGATGACTCATCTGTAAGCCAAAGTTCATACATGAATCAAAATACGCAAGCAAAGGCGAAATACAAAATGGTATATGTAAGGACAAATGCATTGAAGTATGTACCTACTAGGAATGCGCACACGCATATTTTGCCTCGCGCCTGTCAGCCAATACCACCCAAACAGTCCGACTGAGGCCACTCGTGCGCGCGCTCTACTGACTGCGCGCGAAGCCAGACTTCCAACGAATCTGCGCGCACGCCGGAAGCTAGACTTCCTACGAATGACGGAAGTTACACTTCCTTTTGGTGACTAATTGACATTCCTAAGCACGACTGCCGCGTACGTACGCATATCGACAACCCGGAGTAGTTGCCTCACGCTAATGCGCTCGGCAATCATACCATGTGTCCTTTGTTCTGCAGTAGTAGCATCACCTGTAGTTACTGAGGCTGAGGAGGTCTGAGAGGGTTCGCCTGCAAAAGTTACACTTCCTTTTGGTGACTAATTGACATTCCTAAGCACGACTGCCACGTACGTACGCATATCGACAACCCGGAGTAGTTGCCTCACGCTAATGCGCTCAGCAATCATACCATGTGTCCTTTGTTCTGCAGTAGTAGCATCACCTGTAGTTACTGAGGCTGAGGAGGTCTGAGAGGGTTCGCCTGCAAAATGTTACATCATACATAATTATACGAACATCAGCAAAGAATGATCCAATGCTCAATTTCTGTAAACTATGACTCACATGGAGTTTGAATCCAGAGATATTTGGTGGTCAGGTCTCCATACACTTCACTGTTGCTGGTGCAGATCCACTCCTTGTCCTTGATGAAGGCTGGGTGTGGTCTGTCAGTGTGGGTTCTCGGACACACGATTGCCGGCTGTGGCTTGTTGTTGGAGTAGCCCAGAGTATCGACCACGGTCTCGATCCCACCAAAGACAGCCTTTCTCACGTGCCCCCACAGCTCCTTCTCCCACGTCTTTGAGGTGAACATGTGAACCTCGAAGTACTCGTAGCGGTCAACGAAGGTCACTGACCCGGGATACTTGGGGACCTCGAACTTGATGCAGTCGCGATACAGACACGAAGGCTCCTGCGACGAGAGATGCAGCTTCCAGGAGTAGGGGCTGTGGTTTTCAGGAGAGAGGACGTGGGACATGAGGGAGCAGAAGACGCCACTCTGGGGACCACCGTCGGGGAAGTCCACCACTTGGGCTCCCGCTGACGAGCACCTCTTTTCCATGTCGCTGGCAGAGATGTGTCGGAGGACGCTCGGCATGAACCAGGTCTCTGGACCCTCCTCGTTCCACAGCCTGGCAAACACCAGCAGCTCCTCCAGCAGGTGGATCAGATCGTCACAGCTGAAGACCCCTTCCTTGTAGTGGCTGCTGAACCTCCTGTCTTCCAGAAACTTCTTTGTGATTC